GTTAGGGAGCGGATGAGGGCGGAATCGAGGGAGAAGGCGTTGAGGAGGAAGGAGACGGGCTGGGGAGGGGCGAACGGGGAGGAGGAGGCGGTGGTGGGGGGGTGGTAGAGGATACCGTGCAGCACCTGGGAAAGGGGAGGTGGGAGGCGAGGAGAGGGAAAAGGAAAGAAGTGCGTTTTGCCTGCAGCAGCTAGGAGCTGTATAGGTCCCAGCCTTCGCCTCTTCCACCACCGCCGCCGCCGGCCGTGCGTTTGCGAGCGGATGAGGGCTGAGTCGAGGGAGAAAGCGTTGAGGAGGAAGGAGACGGGCTGGGGAGGGGCGAACGGGAAGGAGGAGGCGGTGGAGGGTGGATGGTAGAGAATCCCATGCAGCACCTACCTGCCATTGAGAAAAGGGAAGGAGGGGAGAGGGGAGGAGGGCGAATTGGGAGTGGGCAAGGGTAAGGCGAGTGGGACGCGGAGGGGGTTTGAGGAGGAGATGGTTAAGGGTGGGTGGTAGGGGATCCTATGAGCACACCTGGTGAAACAGAGGGGCACACCTGGCCGCCCATGGGCACACCTGGCCGCCCATGGCACTGTGGGTCACACCTAGTTAGTCATGGCCCATTCATGGTACAAGACAAGCAGGGGACCATACCTGGTCGCCCATGGGCACGGTAATGAAATAGCCGTTGTCACACTTGGAGCGAAGCGAATGCTGCCTGAGAAGAGCAGATGTGTATGGCATGAGGAGGCATACCTGATTGCATTGCAGGTGGCACGGGGGGGCATACCAGGTCGTGTATAGCCCACTCATGGTACAAGACAAGCAGGAGGCCACACCTGGTCGCCCATGGGTACGGTAATGAAATAGCCGTTGTCACACTTGGATCGAATGATGCCTGAGATGTTGCGCCCTATGTTCGCCAGCTGGGGCGCTGGCGAGGGGGACAGGGGAGGGGGACAGGGGAGGGAAGGCAATGCCGGGAGAAAACACAAACACGGGGAAAGTGTGGAGCGAATGATGCCTGAGATGGGGCGCTGTGGCGGGGTGTGGAAAGAGCAGGGAAGAAAATGGTTGGGTGGGGCTGGAGCAGAGAATAAAAAATGTTGCGCCCTATGCCGGCCAGGTGGGAATCGAAGGGCTGCTTCTCCTTCTTATGGACTGTGAATGGGGTTACTAACACGAGAAGGTGCTGACGAGGGGAAGAGCTCACGAGGGAAGGTATTAACAAGGAAACATGCCTTGCCGTCTGGCGCGCGGAAAAAAGGGGGGTTACTTACGAGGAGGCGCTTCAAAGCCTTGCATCCTGCGTGCCCCGCGCTTGCGAGGGAAGTGGGTGAGAGCTGCACACACAGACAGGGCGAGCAGAGATGATGGGATAGATGAGCAGATGGGGGAGAGGCGAAGAGGGTAGAGATCCGATGATAAGCCAGGGGACGAAAGCACTCACGAGGAGGGGGCACAAGGGGACCTTGGCCCCGGGGCACCAGGGGCACCAGGGGCACCAGGGACACCAGGGACACCAGGGGCACCAGGGACACCAGGGACACCAGGGGCACCAGGGACACCAGGGACACCAGGGGCACCAGGGTTGAAGAATTAGGTCTGTTCGATGTAGTGCAGTAGAAGGATTTGTTGATGTAGAACTCGTGGGAGAGGAGAGGAGGATGCGTTGTGACCTATGGGGCACCACCGATGGAGAGTGACGAATCTACTCACGAGGAGGGGGCACGAGCGACCCTTGACGATTGAAGAAGTAGGTCTGCTCGAAGTGGTGCAACAGGTTGATGTAGAACTTTCGGAGGACGTATGAAGCACTGGTGGTGGTGGGCGGGAAGTCGAACGGGATCGTCACGTCCCTCCACTTGCGATCCGCTATCACCTGTAAAAAGTGAAGAGGGGGGAATGGGCCGTGTTAAGCCCGACCAAGTCTGCAGCTCGCTGAGAATATGTCAGAAGATTCTCCACTTGCGGTCCACTATCACCTGTAAAAAGTGAAGAGGGGGGAAAGGGAGGGTGAAGCGGGAAGCAGGTCCAACTCGCACCCTCCCATCTCGATAAATAACACCTGCACCACTCCTCACCAATTCCACCCCATCCCCACCCCTCCTCACCTGCATCAAGCCCCCTCGGCCTGTGACTTCACGGTACAGCAGGTGCAGGTCCAGCTCCCTCCCTCCCATTTGTGGGATCCTGCACGCAGCAGGAAGAAACGATAGGAAGAAGGAGAAATCCGTAGACGTTTCAAACGCCGCTTCGAGTCATGAATACCCCAGAATCGAGCTTGACACGTCCCAGAACTCACCTCAATGACCCTCCCAGTTGATAGTGAAACCGCGCGGGCAAGTCAAGGAACAGCACGCGAACACCTCCCCCCCCCCTTTTTCCCCCCTCCCCAGTACCCGCCAGCAGTATTATTCAGTATCTCTCTCACCTCAGCGACCCTCCCATTTGGTTGTGAAACTGCGCGAGCAAGTCGAGGAACAGCACTCGATCCCCCAGAATCGCCTCGTGCGTCGCTAACGGCTGCGGGTAGTGGTCTACCGGCCCGCCGGCTGAACCAGCGAAACCTGCCGGCGCCGTCATCGCTGCTGACGTGGCTCCCGGCGCTTGTGCAAATGGTGGCACGGGAGAAGCCATATCGTCTAGATATCACGAAGTAAGAACTGGGTTCCTAGCTGCTCTAAGCTTTTGTTAACGATTCCAAAGGGAATCTTTGAAGAGAACGACGGGCAGCCAGGATAGCGTTCAAGAACGGTTCACGATACACAGAAAAGTAGTTTTTTTTTTCTTATAGGTTACTTTGCCACGACACAAGCGAACGTTGAAGTTGCCTGGCCAGTTTAGGTTTCTAAATCCACTACCGGGATCGCAGGCACTTCGACCTCTGATACCGTATCTTTCAAGCTGTTCAGTACTGAAGCAAATCTCTCTCCCTCGATAACAATGTGGGTGTTCCCTCGCCCTCGACGATCGCTGCGAGAGGCGAGCAGCGAAAAGAGCTATATTGAATGGAGTCAGCAGCGTTCTAAATAACTCTTAGCTTCTACTCCTATGACTCGCAGCGTCGTCATTTAGGCAGCGCGTTATGCAATACATTTGTCGTGATTATCTCCGACTTGATCAACTAAAATGCTACTCTTCAGCTGGACTCACTTCACGGTGACCTCTTCTTAGGTTGGAGAATGTTTTCTATGGCGTAAGCAACACTCTACGGACTCGAGTACCTATTCCTCGCAAGCAAGCTGAAATGAAGAAATCTCGGGAGTGTCATATCTGTGCCTGCCTAATGCGGGCCAATAGAACCAAGCCCCAGATTTTGCTGTTCTGCGCTAAAGCCTTTGATTACATCAAGCCGAACAAATATCGAGGTGGTGTGCTGGTTCAGTAAAGCCAATCGAATAATCCCGTATCAAGGACACAATCCTCAAAGTTCTCGACGTGTCATTGCCACGTCAAAACTCTAGGGCAATCCCAAAAGCCATCAGCTTTCCACATCCCCGCCGTTCATTTCACAGAGCAGTTCGCAATCCATCACATCCGTTACAGAGTCCTCACATCCATGCTTGTCATCCCCTTGAAACCGTACAAAAAGGAACTACAATGTACGCTACCGCTTTGAACCATATTAAATTCGACTTTCCCGCTCACGTTTCAGCCTAGAAACCAATTGCTGTGAGGGTCGATTTTAGCCTAAGCTGGTCTGGTTCTAGTTACTGGAAACTAGACCTCCGATTGGTCCGTTCCGCTAGTCTAACTATTGCAGCTTTTTGCTTCTTTGGTAGTGTTGTTCCCGACTGTAAGCTGAGCCCTTCAGTTTGCGGGCACGTCGTTCCTGGTCTAGCAGTAAGCTTCAGAATCCAGGATGGATAAGATTTTCGGACCCGCGTATACCGGCGATCCCGGCGTGCCTCACACTGATAAAGACATCTTCTCCGGCATTTTCTGGGGAGCCGTCGGGTTTTCGCTCTACTCGGTAGCCGATCCATATTACTGGCAGCACTCAACGGAGCACAAGTAAGCTAATCGAGTCCGTCCGTCTCGATAGTTGATCGGTATCACAGCCACCAGACGATGGAGCATAAATCGTTGAACTAGGTTTGAGGTAGAAGGTGCATAAATTTTAATTCAGGGGAGTACCTTACTGGAAAATGAGCCGTTGACACAATGTATCAATGGAAATGTCAGGACCCGTGCGAACTGGCATGTTTTTTTGTATTGCGGATCGCGCTGACAGTGAGTCAGGAAACTAACGTTGCGTCTCAGCTTCAGTTGGTTGTCAGAGTATCCGTCCATCCTTACCCCCTTCCCCCACCAATCCACTTCCCCCCCCCCCCCCCCCCCCCCCCCCCCCCCCCCCCCCCTTTTCTCCCCCTTCCCCTCCCCCCTCCTTTCCCTCTTCTCTTCCTTTGCGATCCCTGCAGCTGGCACGACATGGCGTACATTCACGAGAACCATCAATTTAAGAAGGCGTGCCGGCAGAGAAAGCCCTATGAGCCTAAGGTGTGTTTTTATACTACGTTTCCATATTGCGCCTGGGAGGTTTTAGCTGGAATGGATGGTTGCTTTCAAATTTGTTGCTTCCTGGTATGTTTCTCAGTGCTCTTCATCATGCTTGCCGTACACTCTGCTTGGTAGTAGTATTTCACATGGGGATGTTTTTTTCTGTGGCTATTGTTGTGCAGTGGAACAAAATGATGTCCAAGGAAGTGAGAGAATCTTACTACAACAACTGGCGCGACTATTTTCCTTGAGAGCATTTTATGTCTGCCGCTGTACTGTAACTAGTCAAATTAAAAATTTCCTTATAGCTTGTACAACATGGGGTAATAATTCGGTGCCACTGAATCTGTCAAAAGCCACTCTGACTAACTAGCAGCTTGATTGCACAGAAGTGATGGTACGGTACTACAATTTGTCTTTCTGCAAGATCAGTTGAAACTGAGGGTGTACACCATTCAAGCTATACTTTTGAAACAGTAGCTGTGATAGTACTGTTGGTCAGTCATCAAAGGATGTCAGTCTTCGGCTGAGAGGATGTACGAGCGTAGCCGGCAGTTCTCAAAACTGAGACCGCAGAAGAGGGGGTGCGGGGGAAGTAAAATTGGCAGAGAGGGGATGGGAAAGAGAGGGAAACACAGGACCAGGATGAATTGCAAACTTTCACGTGCCTCCGAAACATGAGAAACTACTTGGAAGGATTGGGGAGCAACATAAACATAGTTTGTCTCAGGTAGCACTGGGGGATGAGGGATATGGGTTAACAGGTGCACTCACTAGACGAGCTTGTTTTCGGGCCGTAGGTGCGGGGGCAGGCCAACAGTGGCGAAGGCATGGAGGAACCCGCTGTGAGAGACGACTGCTATGGATTGCTCCTTGAGTCCAAGCAGCCTTCGGGAGGAGAGGGGCGGGCAAAGTCAAAAGTGGGATGAAAGAGGCGATTAGGGGGAGGGGAGGGGCGGGCAAAGTCAAAAGCGGCGAAAGCATGGAGGCTCCCGCTGTGCAAGACGACTGCTATGGAATGCTCCTTGAGTCCGAGCAGCCTGGGGAACGGGAGGGGAGAGGGAGAGCCAGAGAAGAAGAGGGAGGATAACGATGGGGAAGAAAAGCAGGGAAGGATGGAGATGGAGGTACGTAAATGCGTGGAAAGCAGGAAATAGTGAATGTGAGAGAGACGATGTGATCTGGGCCGGGATGTAACCAGCATATGTTCTGAGACGTCGTAAAACAAGAAGCACCCTGAGACTTGTGGAAAAGCTGCTGCTGACAGTATGCTAGCAGCCTGGCAATTACTGGCTTGAGCAAGATGGTGAGAAGAAATATTAAGTGCCTCGTGCTGCTAGCATACTACTAAAAGTGACGGGTGCAGGGTCCCGAAAGTCAGACAATCGCACCATGCGGCGAGATCACTGGCTTGTTGCGCAATCCCCTTGAGAGGTGTTTTGAGAATTCGCAAAAACACCCTGCAACTGGGAAGTCAGACAAGCGCATCGCACCATGCTGCGAGATCAGTAGCTCGTTGTGCAATCTCCTCACGAGTCTCCCTGGGCTCCACCTTCCACAGCGCATCCTCGTCATCCGTGATCTGCAGTGTGGTGTGGTGCGGTGCGGTGTGGTGCGGTGCGGTGTGGTGCGGTGCGGTGTGGTGTGGTGTGGTGTGGTGTGGTGTGGTGTGGTGTGGTGTGGTGTGGTGTGGCCATGAGTGAGTGTTTAGAGTCGCCCCAGAACGCGAGTCTCCCTGGGCTCCACCTTCCACAGCGCATCCTTGTCATCCATGATCTGCAGTGTCATCCGCAAATGGTCATGCTCACAAAACGAATGAAGGTTGGAATATAGGGTTACAGTTACAGGTTCCCGATTGAGTTCTGTGCATGCATGCACGACGCCCATCGAAGTAGACATTCAGTGCATGGCACGGCACAGCACAACACAACACAAAGAAAACTGCCAGGAAGAAAACTCATGCCAGAACACTCATGGCATGGCACTGCTCAGCACGACACAAAGAAAACCACCAGGAACGCACAGCACAGAAAAATCCGCACTGCACCGCACTACACCACCCTGTGCCGCGCAACACCCAGAACGCGGCCAGCACTGCACCTGACTGAAGTCCACAGAGGAGAAGAGGTCCTTCTTTTCTCTTATTGGCCGGCGCTTGTCACACACATGCACGTGCTGAGTGGGAGGGAGGCATGATAGATAGACAAGTGGATACATGTGATATCAGAAAAACTGGAGGGGAGAGGGAACAGGAGGGGTGGAAGGGAGCATGGGCAAGGACATGTTTCTCTCTGATTGCCGGGCGCTTGTTGCACATGTGCACACACAATAATGTGCGTGTAAAAGGCAGGCACACACACATGTGACACACATGCGACATACATGCACGTGCACATCGCTCTGGTAGGCAGGCAGCAAGATGTGGGAGATGAACTGAGGAGAAATGTGCTTTATTGGTAGGAGACGGGATGAATGTGCTGTTACCTGGGTAGTAGGAGACGGGATGAATGTGCTGTTACCTGGGTAGTAGGAGACACTGTGAAACGCACATGGCTTCACGCATCATAGAGTCAGCTGTTTTTTAGGCGCCTTAGAAGTTGTGAAGCGCACATGATTTCAAGCATCACACAGTCAGCATCACCCTACACCTGCTCACTCACTCCCCACGCAATACCCCTCCTCACGCTGCAGTGACTAAACCCCATCCGCACTCACTAACACCCACCCACTCACTCAACTCAGCTCTTCTCACCAGCGTTTCTCTGCAGAGCTCGTTGGCCAGAATGTGTGCTGGCAGCGTGGTGGTAACCTGGTTACCACCTTCAGCTGCCACAGGAGCCGTCACAACAGTCGCAGGCACAACCGCTTCCACCCCATTGGTTCCTGCTGTGCACCCGCCCACAACAGGAAAGTTCTTGGAAGCTGCTTCTTTCAGGGGAAGGTCGACTGGAATTGCAGTGTTAGGAGGGGCAAAGGCGCCCACTGCTGTTTGCAGTGTGCTGATGAAGGGGAGGGGGAGGGAAAGAGGAGGGGAAGGGGAACTGTGAGTAGAAGGTGGAGAAGGGTCGTTATTTTCTCCGCAGCGGGGGAGAAAAGAGCACAGTGCGGAACAGTGAGGACACGTGTTGACTTATTTCAGCAGGGGAAACGGAATCAAATTTGAGAATTCTCAAAAGGAATGAGCACAGTGCAGTGCGGAACAGTGAGGACAAGTGTTGACTTATTTCAGCACGGTAGACGGAAAAGTGAGACTACAGGTGTTAACTCACAGCAGAAGGACAGACGGAACAGTGAGAGGGCATAACCTACCGCAGCAGGGGAGAGACGACTATCAGGTCGGCAGGGAATCCTGGAGGAGGGTTGGCCGCTACTTGCCTGCGCAGCTCTGCTACCTGTGGTGTGGTGATTGGAATAAACGTGGGAGGGAGGGTGGCTTTTCAGTCGACTCAAAAGTCACATCGGTACAATGGGTTGGCTGCTACTTGCCTACGCAGCTCTACTACCTGTGGTGTGGTGGTTGAAGCAAATGGGGGAGGCTTGAAGCGAGATTGAGCCAAGTGCAAAGAGAGAAAATGAAGTCAAACAGAAACAATTCACTGAAGGATGTGGAAACAAGAAGGAAGAAAGAAATAGAGCTGCTTTGCAGAACCAGACCTGCTCAAATCCCTGGGTGCTGAGCGGGCAGTCGAGATACTTTTCGAGCTTATACTGCTCCGTGTCCATCACCAAATTGTGCACTGCCTGCCCGTGACGAATCTGACCACAGGAAGAGCATTAGAAAGGGTGTTTTGAACATTGAGCAGGTCACAGGATCAATGGAAGGTAGGAAATTGGGATTGAGATTGCATTGCACAATGTCGGTGAGACGCTGAGAATGTGCAATGTCGGCTCGGAAAGTGGGTTCGTCTCAAGACTCCAAGCTTTTTTTAGCATTCTAAAAAATATCGCGCATTGATTACCTCTCGAAACGAAACTGTCGAAGGCAATTTCCAGATCAGAAAAGGGCATAGAAGACTACAGACCAAGCATAGGATAAAATTATCAGGGTTAGAACGAACCAGGTGAATGACCTTCGATCGCGGTTTCGTCGTGTCGCCGTCTTTGCACGATGCAGCAACGGCAGGGTCCGTAAGCGGAGTTAGGTTCCATTTCAATGTCGACATTCTTCGTAACCAGTCTATAATTAAACAAGACGATCAGAAAATATGGAAACGACGACAATGCCGCTCGATACTTTACGAAGTTAACTCTGACCCTGCGCGCGCTCTAACACAGTCACTTAAACAGTGCCTTGGCAGTCTCCTGACACGGTCAGGCTTAGTCAGTTACTCACTCACGTTTCAGTAACTTCACGCAGCCACCGAACACGGTCAGGCTTAGTCAGTTACTTGCTCGCGTCTCAGTCTGACTCTCGCCTCACTAACTACCCCGTCCTGCTCCCAGGAGCTGCTATGAAGCTGTGCTCGGTGTTCCCAAGACTTGGGCTCCTGTAGCTGATCTACTTGATAAAATCCTCGGTAGTGGCAATGACCATCAGACCAGCACTGATGGTTCTGCTGTTCATGGGAACTGGTTCTACTATATTACCGCCTTGGAACGTAAGGAACCGAACACAATCGTGCACTTGAGCTGGAAACGATTTCTTGTGACTGCGTTTCTTCATTAGGGCTGTCCGCGATACCCTTGTGGACGCTCTCAAATTATGTTACGGTACCCCCTGGCTTTCAACATGAATCGGATTTTAACTGGAGGAACTTAACATCTCTAAGCGTGTGAGGATTAAATATCACAACACAGCCATTATCAATTGAGGTTGCCTTGCCCTGTTCAGTGGTAGATTTCTCTTACTCAGCCACATCACAAGAGGTAAGCCATGTCAAGCCAGTGAAGTGAAGCATCTTTCCCTTTTGTTGAAGGCACTGGTACCACAAAAATTTTCCTCGTCATGTAAGGTAACTAACCATGCCATAATCACAGAAAATGTGCCATGTTTCTAAGCTGTGCAGCGTTTCCCCCTGTGAGCATGCATGCACGCACTGCAGCCTCCTTAATATCCTCCTCATTATCCGTCACACGGCCCAGCTTGCAGCTGCATTGATGAACCCAGAGGCAGGGTTGGGGAAGGAAAGAGGGGGGGTTGTGGGTTGAGGTTACGACAGGGAAACGAGATAATGACAGCAACGCGAGATTGTCATCTATATAGTTTCATTCGACTTGACAATCAAGGTCAAGCAAAAAGTGAAACGCGCGTGCACGCGCGCGCGCACAACCACACACGCACACACATACACACACACACACACACACACACACACACACACACACATGCACAGGACACAGTGCAGGCAGCTTTTCTCACCTCCGCAAACAGCCAGCCTCCTCTAATGAAGATCTCGACATCCAAACAGAACAAGATCTTCTGTAACCAGCAGGGAACTTTTTAGAATTCTTAAAGAAATCTGTAGCCATGCACACCAGCACGCGTGGGTCATACCTCTTCTGGCAGTGCTGCAGCAGTGCGAGCGTTTCGTCGACACTGAAGCGCGGCACGTTTGACCGCACACCCTTAGGTGTCCCCCCCAGTCAGCACTGCAGGGCGCCCTTTTCAATCGCCTCAAATGCAGTCATCACACCGTCACACAGGAAACATTTCCAACACAGCTGACAGAGCTCTGCAGTGCTGGCATTCCCAAGACAGCTCTGCAGTGCTGGCATTCCCAAGACAGCTCTGCTCCCGCAGCTGCCATTCCCAACACAGACGCACCTCTTTTGATAGTACTGCAGCAGTGCGAGCGTTTCGTCGACAGTGAAGCGAGGCACGGTGAGCCGCACGCCCTTAGGCACCCCCGGCAGCACGGCAGGCAGCCTCCCCACTGCTATGGACTCAGAGAATGCAGCTGCCATGATGACACTGCCTTGCAAGGGACGGAAGGCGTTCACCTGAGGGGAACAAGAGAGGGGTGGATGAGGGTAGGAGCACAGGAAAAATGGATTCTGAAAAAATTGTATGCCACCGCAGCCGAAGTTTCCGATCAGATACTTTTTACGAGAGAGGGGTGGATGATGGTAAGAAGAGCACAGGAAAAATGGATTCTGGAAAAGTTGTCTGCCGCAGCCAAAGTTTCCGATAAGAGAAGTTTACTACCTGCAGAAAATACTCGCCATCAGTGCACCACCCACTCTCCTTACCCACCCATCACCCACCCCCCAACCACCACCCACCACCCACCCATCACCCACCCCCCAACCACCACCAACCACCCACCCATCACCCACCCCCCAACCACCACCAACCACCCACCTATCACCCACCCCCCACCCACCACCCACCACCCACCCACCACCCACCCACCCCCCACCCCCCAACCACCACCCACCACCCTCCACCCACCCCCCACCCCCCACCCATCACCCACCCCCCACCCCCCACCCACCACCCACCACCCCCCACCCCCCACCCACCACCCACCATGCGCATCTCTCCGGCATGTATCTGCCTCCGACTTCTGTCTCCTGTGGATTCGAAGAAGCCCGCAAATGTGAACCACGCGTTGAACTGCACTTACGCAGACAGAGGCGAAGGGAGAAAGAGGGGGAAACGGGGTGACCATAGTAGCAGCACGCATGCAATTCCGAACTGACTAAAACAATACAGATAATCTGCAATCAATAACTCATGCAATCAGTCCCCAGCATGAGTTACTTCTGGTTCCAGCATGACCCATGGTCAGGACCATGGTCCATGAGTCCCCAGCACTAGAAATGAGGGAGTTTTTGAGACGTCTCAAAGGACCATGAGAGTCCCCAGCACTAATCTTGGCAAACATGGTCAGGACAGAAATCACTCATGCACATCCCCACCCCACCATCAATACCTGCCATCTCCCCTCTCCCCTCTCCCCTTTCACTCTCTCACCTCATCCACAGCAATCATGGTGGGGACGGAAGTAACTCTCCCCAGCTCCTCTCTCAGCCGAATCACAACACTCGTAGCGGCATGTGAGTGATCGGCTCCATATCTCACGAGATTTCCCAGCGACCAATCAGAGCCCGGCGATACGACCTGGCTGCCCCGAGCTAAGCCGATGCCTGGCCCCTCCCCTAAAGTGATTGGTTCGGGCAGCTGAACGGGCAGAGAGGACAAACGCTCCTGGTGGGCTGCAAGAAACGACTGTGGCAGGGTGGTGGAAAGGGGAGAAAAGGGGACGATGAATAAAACACCCGTACTGCATTGAATTAACTCAAGAATGGTTAATTCTAATAATGCCACTCAGAACACTCATCACACTGAATCCACTCAAGCAGCTGGAAACCGTAGTAATTACATTAACGATCATCGCACCTTGAGTGCTGCTTGTGCTTGTACGGGGGTATCCCAAATCGCCTTTCTTCTCCCTCCACCTCCCACCCTCCCTTCTCCTCCATCCTCCACCCTCCCTCCTTCCTCTCCCCCCTCCTCTCCCTCAGTCTCAGGATGTTTGTAGTACAATCCGTTATGCGTCCATTCTCTTGCCTTGGGCACGTAAAACACCAACCACCCGTTTGCACGGGCCCAGAGCACAGCGGTCAGCAGGAGATAAGTTTTTCCGCTGCCCGGATGGCCTCGGAGCAGAAACGAGCCAGGGGAGGAATTATTAACCTTCCCTTCAGGGCTGTCGGTAGGTTCCACGAGACTGTTAGAGTCTGATGAGCTGGACTGGTGATCTCGGGCAGCTTGAAGCTTGTGGATGAAATCTTTTGTGGCTGCCCGAAGAAGAATGGCACGGGACTTAGAGGCCTCAAACTCTTTTTCCATTGAAGGAGGGAGGCCCTCGGGTAGATACTGCTGCAAATGCTCCTCACTGTAGAGAGTGTGTGGGAGAGAGTGTGTGTGGGAGAGAGTGAGTGTGAGGGAATGTGAGAGAGAGTGTGAGTGTGAGTGTGTGTGTGGGTGTGAGGCACCTGGGTGAATATTGCTGCAGATGCTTATCACTCCAAAGATAGTAAGGATGCTAACAACATACCTGAACTTACCTGATGTTACCTAACCTTGCCTAACCTCAACCAACAGTACCGAACCTCACCCAAGCTTACCTAAGCTCGAACAGGGTATTCTCTTGAAGGTCCAAAATATCTTTAGGATGAACCGACGTCAACATGACGTCACCTTCCCCCCCTTCCCCTGCATCTCCTGCATTCTCCGCCTCTTTCTTCCCCGCTTGCACTGATCCCTTCGCGCCCGAGCCGCCGGCCTTCGCGCTCGCCTTGGGTGCATCTGTACTGAACTGCCTCGACCAATCCGCAATTGCCACGCGTCCCTGCGAGGACCCAAAAATCTCCGAAGAACGACAAATCTGAGGTCTGATCGATCGCGATTCGAAGGGGCTATTGGAAGTCACTGGAAGCGAATCGCCGAATGGCTTTAAAGCCCGGCCTAGAGTCTTCTGATATTCCGGCGATCTTTCCTCATATAAGGCTCGTCCTGCAATCTCTCCCCTATCATAACAACAATGACGGCTGTCCGTTAGTTTCTCGACGTCCGGGAGGAGGAAACTGCCGGCCAGGGAAGCTAGCCGACCGTCGTTGACTCTGCCGTCGGCTCGTGCCGAGGTAGGGCGAAGCCCGGCGGCGCGAATCAGAGGGCGCCACATGGTGCTGATGAAAGGAGGTCGATCATGTGAAAGAAAAGTAATATGTTGGTAGATTTCTCCGATAACGCTAAAATATTGCTGCAACCAGTTTATTACATGCTCTGTGTAAGTCTCATAAAATTGCACTAACAGGCGAGATACATATTTTTGTACAGTTCTCTACAGCATTGCTCTACGATTGTCCTCCCACACCGTGTGCACTTTTTGCCCCACTCTACAAACAACCTTGCCCACATTCACTCGGATGCAAAGAGGAAGACCACCACACGACATTTGTAAGCTATGTGCGATGGAGAGTAACTGGTCGAGGTGGTTACCAGCTACCCAGAGCAGGGAGACGTGTGGGCGTGGGTTCTGAAATTCACATATGGACACACAGATATGGTCCGTCCGCGAGTGTGAGTAAGAGCAAAAGGGTTTTGATGGGTATGCAGTGCATGTGAGCAGCTTAGGAGAACGGGAGGATGTGGGTTGGCGGATAAGGGGATATGAGAAGGAGAAGCGGTAGGCAAAGGAAAATAAGTGCACACTTCAAAATGCGGAGGCAAAAGAAGAATAGCAAGGGTGGGTAACATACATCATAGTATGGAGGAAGACCGTGAACAGCATATGCCTGGTCGATGCAATGAACCAGAGAGGCGAACTGGGGGCGGGCAGACAGGAAAGTGGTGTGGGAGTGGAGAGGAATGAAGAAATCCACTGGAGATATGGAAATTGCTTTGTCAGAAAACCGAAGAAGGTTGGGTAACAAAGCTGTGAGGCACTGTAAAAGGCAAGCTGGCATGGAGCACGGGGTCAGTGGTGAGACAGGGACGAGGGGAGGTTGCAAACAGGGCGGTGCAGTGGGGGAATGAGGAGTGCTGTGCATTAGAGGAAAAACAAGAGGTCTGAATCACAAGAGCTACAAAATCAGAACTGAAGAAGGGTCAGGGCCGAAAGAGGAGTTCCCATCACACCACACATCAGGCAGTCCCTCCCGGGCAGCTTCAAGGGTGGGGAAGGAGCGAGTCTTCTGTGAGGTCAAAAAAATGATACTAAGCTCACATAACAATAATTGCAAGGTTACCTCAGGCAGTCCCTCCCGGGCAGGTTCAAGAGCGAGGAAGGAGCGAGTCTTCTCGTCGTTAACGAATGCCGTCCACTTGTCCAAATGTAAGTGGAAGCTGGTGGCGTGGAGGGGTGAAGTGGCAGGAACGAGAAGAGAGGGGGAAGGGCAATGATTGAGTCATCTTGTTGGTAATAAACGCTGACTTGTCCAATGGCTGGGACGAGAGTAGAAAGAGTAAGAAGAGGAGAGAGGGAGGGACGGAGGAAGGGAGGGAAGAAGGGAGGGAGGGAGGGAAGAAGGGATGGAGGGAGGGAAGAAGGGAGGGAGGGAGGGAAGAAGGGAGGGAGGGAGGGAGGGAGGGAGGGAGGGAAGGAGGGAGGGAGGGAAGGAGGGAGGGAGGGAGCGAGGGAGCGAGGGAGGGAGGGAGGGAGGGAGAAATAGCAGCAGGATAAACATCATTCTAATCACCTTCCTACCTTACCGTTTTTGTGGCTTGAGTCGCAAGCGCAGCAGGCTGAGAAGGGAGTCGATCTGATGGAAGCGGATGGGGACAGTGCGAGCAGCCGTCATGTGAACCTCCCCTGTAACCAGGGTATGCATTGCAGCCGCAGTAGTAGCACCACCACCAGCACCAGTAACAGCAGCACCAAAACCACAATCAGCAGTAGCAGCACCACCACCAACACAAACACCAGCAGCAGCAGCTTTGAGTGAGTCCGGGTCCACAGGCGCCAGTGCAGGGAGGGCGCTGATGGCAGTGAGGAGGTGCGATTGGAGGAGCGGCTGGAGAGAGGCAGGGATGGTAACTGCAGGGGCGTGTGGCATGGGGGATATGGGAAGGATGGGGAAGTATGGGAACAGGTAAATGAAAGGAGGGGCCCGGTTGCGAAGGGAAGGTGTGATTTGAGGAGTGGTTAGAGTGGGGAAGTTGACTTTTGAGTCGACTCAAAAGTCAACTCGAAGGTATGATTTGAGGAGTGGTTAGAGTGGGGAAGTGTGTGGATAGAATAAAGAGAGCGCGTGTCTGAGGGGCGGAGGGGAATGGGTGCAGATGTTGGTTGAGAAGTGAAACGAATCACGAAATTGCTTCAACCGTATGGTTCTGACAGACGAATGGTCAGGAGCCAGCTCGCTCACACTCACCATGAACGGCGAAGTTGCCTTCAACATGGGGGAATGTTCGCACTCTCCCTCCGTGATCCACTTTGACCTTTGCTTTGGCCACCTCACCTGCACGGAATATGCGCATGTGGAAAATACAACGGAGGAGTGGCGGAAGGCGAAGAGGAAGGGAACGAGAAGATTGGGAAAAGAGGGAGGTGAGAAAGGGGGAGAACGGGTGGAATTAGATTTGTGAGGAAAGTGGGGCTTTAGGGGAACCAAGAACAGACTTGTGGTTAGTCCGGCATGCTGCACTCTCAAACAACACATATAGAATAGTATAGGCGAGCATAACGACAAAGATCAACCCAGCCTTGTGCATTAGCCCAACCTTGAGCATCAGCAAAAAGGTCATCTGGAGGAGGTGGGAGCAACACTGATGCAGCAGCTGCTGCTCCTGCTGCTCCCCCTGCTGTTGCAGCTGCTGCTGATGATAATAATGAAACTCTTCGAATCTGATCCTTTGACGTTGTCCGTCTGTCTGTCGCTTCCTTTCCCTGTTTGCCGCTGATCACAGCTGACGTATTCCTTCCGTCATCCATCCTGTCTGACAGGTTCTGTTTGTCGCTCATCACCGCTGACGGATTCCGTTTGTCATCGCAATCACGCCTTCTAGAAACATTGTCATTTCCGCTCCTTTCGGCATCCGTGTGTTCGCCTCCTCTCCTATCTTCGACGCCTCTCCTCCCTTCGGCTTCGTTCCCCAGTTCCTCTCCTCGCGCTCCACCACTCATCGTGTCTCCCGGGAAAATTCGTCTCTTCTTACATGCGGCGTACCCCTTCCCATCATACACGGTGTTCGCATTCTCCCCTTCCCATCTATCTGCGTCTGCTGCCTCGTCACTTCTAGCTTTACCAAGAGTTCCGCCTTCTTGTTCTTTATCTCCTTTCAGGCTCAACTGAAGTTCCTCATCTTCGTCGCTCGCATATGCCGCGAACAGTGCATCCATGAAAATAAATTGACAGGTAAGTCAGCAGGAGCCCCAACAAGCTCTAGGTGGGTAATCGGCTGCTGCCAGGACTGGCTTTGAGGGAAATGGTGCTTCACGATGTTGGAACGTTCATTAGTCTGCTTCGTTCCTTGGTAAAGATCCGCTACATGAAACATGTTACATGAGCCATCACAACCACTGAAAAACGTGAATCATCACATCCGAGTTTGCAAAATGCAATTGGAGGTCATTACTATACCTTCTGAAAAACGGCTTAAATCATGATCTACGAAATATTTAATTATTTGCGTGAAATTTTGCAGAGAACCTTCTGTACTAGAAAAACAAAACTGGAAAAAAGACACGGCATTTATTAATGAAAATTTGTTGGACAAAGTTGGCTAATGGATTGTAACGAGGTATTCTCAGACGCAGAAGCAGTTCTATCATTGCAGTTCACCTCTTTCCCTGGCCAAATTCTCTCGCAACTTTACCTGTCTATTTGCGTCAACAGGCATGACATCCTGTCAAGAACGGCTGGCCTGCAAAATTTCGCAGTTGACTGCTGGACCTTCGATTGCAATGGGTATCAGCTCGGACTTGTTCCCAGCTAATCGGCGTAGTGGCATTGAGCCTGACAGGACTAGAAGGCTTTTATCGACACCGCCTAAGCCAAACAAACAGACAAATTCCAAGACGCTTTCAGCTCCCAAAAGTGTGAATGTTGCAAAGATTCTTGCAGCTGCTCGAAGTGAGAAGGACAGCCCAGCCCTTGACAAGGTTTGTTCATCGTTCCGTTATTTGCTGTCGCGTCGTTTTCTTCCTTACCATATTGCGGCCAACTGAGCAACTTGGATGGCGCAGGTGAAAGAAGTACTACCTATGAACACCTCCGAGAAAGGGATCAATAAAGACAACATTCCAGAAGTCGTGAAAGGCACGGACGAGCGTCTTTCTGTTCCTGTAATAGACTCGCTTTTTTTTTTTTTTTTTTTTTTTTTTTTGGGCTTTAAGGAGATCCCCGGAGGAAAGTAATAGACTCGCTGGCAGGTTCACAATCAAGAATCAGTCATCCAGAAGAAGTTACTCCAACAAATGACATTCATTCAGGCTTGAGAGAAATTCCAGCTCAAAGCGCTGAACGTGGAATGGCACATAACAGCTTTTTCCTTCATCAGGTGGTTGAAGGTTCAGAGTTCAAATCCAGCAACGGTCCCACAACCAAGGATACTGTGCTTGCCTTTCTTCAGAAAGTTGAGGAGGCGACAATATGCCAGCCTGGCAAATCATCTGAGCTCTATAATGCTTTATGTGGTGCGTATCAATTGGCCGATCAACCAGCGGAGAAGCTGAGGCTTCTGGTGAAGGCTGTAAATATGCTACTCCACACACCATATGGTACCAAGCCAGCAAGCAATGACAAGCTGTATCTGATTGGCACGGTGGTGGTGGTGTGTTTCCTGCTCCTGCCAACCATGATATTCCTCTTCAGTGGCTCAGAGGTCATTGATGACATTCTGGTGCCCACATGAGCTACTACGGTACTGGTGTTGTCCAGCCACATGCTACCATGCTGAGGCATTCTCGAACAATCCAAGTACAATGAAGCACCGTTTCTTCTGTTTTAGCACCACATGTGCACTGCAGTGCTCGAGATAATAATATTTTATTGATGGCTACCAACAAGACACATAAACTCAAACCAGCTGCACAAGCTTTAAGCCACGATAATCTAGTCAGCACTCAAAATAGATGAACGAAATCATAGGCAAGCCTGCACAATGTAAGAATGTAAAGTCAGAGAGAAGTTGGAAGGGGGTGACTGGGCACAGGAGAACATGGCGGAAAGAGCTGGCAATGGAGACTTACGTCCAGAAGAGAACGAACGACTGGCAGGTTGAAGAAGCCATGTAATCATCGTGTGTCAACGTTCACGCATTAGTGATCATCAAGATCAATAGAGAGGGCAGTGGAGAAGGAGGGTACGAAGTGTGTTAGCTGGAAGACGACAAGCACATCCAGTGACCTGAAATGCTTACAACTTATGCACAACTGAAAGATATCATGTCTGTGTTGCCGAATGAACCGCTTGGAACGATGATAGGACTCACCATGGCACCTTGCGTGAGGCCATCCATTCCGCCTATCCGTTGCCAAGTGTCAAAGTACTTGTTTATGTGAAACCCAGTCTTGATAAACAGGCCAACAGCCCCAAGGACCATGACAAATATGTAGCAAAGGAAACCTGATATTCCTGTCAGACCTAATATGCCTGCCACTACACCTGCTATAATGGCAAGGTATGTGCGACTGAATGAGGGTAAGATGGGGAGAACAGGGGGGAAGAGGGGGGGGGGGGGGGGAGTGGGGAAGAGAGGGAGAACAGGAGGTATGTATATTTCTATGACGAACGAGGACGTCAGAACGGGGTTAGAATTCAAAGAGATATCGAAGAATAACAACGTCCGAAGTGCGCTTTCGAAGTACCGCACCTGAGGTTCACAGCGGCGAGGTTCTTCTGAAGATTCGGTCCAGAAAATAGTGGCGCGGGAGGGCTTTGTTGTTCAGCAGGTTGAGGATTCTTCTGTTGCTTGGAAGATTGCCGTTGCTTCGACGCCGCTGCTGCGATCGAGGAGAGAAGGAAGGGTACTGAGTGTACGATTGCTCGTTAACGTGGCACAAAGCTTTGTGAAGATCGAGTCACGATGGTAGAACGACGCGCAAGCTCATCAAATCACATAGGCGCTTCTTGTTTCGGAACTACCCAGCCGTTCTCATGCATCGAATCCTACGAAACGCACGACGGAACGAAGAACGAATCCGGGCGACGGACGGAGGGAAGGACGTAACGACAGACGGACGATGGACACAAAGAGCCATGACGGCGTGCGTCGTACGACCTACCAGATCGTTCCATGATGTCAGTGACGAATTCAAGGCGCTTTACGGGCGTGCCGCTAGATTACATTAACTTCAAGCCAGTCCGAGATTCTAAACCAGCGGCGTCGACAGCGGTGTCAGAAGGTCAAAGCACACCCGAGATTGATTTGTGAGGGAACCTGGTTTTGTCACTTTCAAATTATCAGCTCCAACCTTTACAATCTCCGTGCTTGCGTTTTGCACTTCATACGCGCTAATAGGTGTCTGCCACCAACCATTTCCTTCCCAACCATGTCCCTCCCAAGCCAACCATTTCTTCGTCCCACCAAACTCTCTGCCTCTCCTTCCCTCTCCCTCCCTCTCCTCCCTCTCCATCACTTTCCCCCATCAAGAAAATATCGAGGCACACTAGTAGCATTTTCGAGGCACAGTTACCATTTCCCGAGGCACTAGCTCTATTTCGTGTATCAGTCGCGTGTCATTGCCAGTCATCGCTCACGTTTTGTAGCCGTTGGTGTGTCTGCCTGTCACCCAATCATTGCCGGCTCACCAAGCAACGCCTGCAACCTCGAGGCACCAGTAGTAGCATTTTCAATTGGTTTCCCCTTTCTCTCCATGTAGGGTTCTCAATCGCTTGGGAGGAAACCAGCTCTTGCCATACGGTTTTCCTTTGTTATTGCTTCGGCCTGCGTATCTCTCTATATCGCGTACGAGCCTAGTAGCCCGTCTCGTCATCAAAGATGTTAAAGGATGCGGACGATCCCGATGGTGCGTCGCGTCGTTTTCCACGGCCGAGCAGCAGCCAATCAGCAACTTCCTTGAGTTCCGTATCTCATGTAGATCTCAGGTCTTAAGACTCGAAGCTGTGGTTCCGAATCGAACAGAGTTTGGTCGTGAGTAGATTGTGAATGTGGTAACCCTTTTTCCGCGTCTCGTCGTAATAGTTATACCGCTCGCCCTCTAATTCCTGTAGTTATCCACATCTCCCAGTCACTATTTAATCACCGCCGTCAGTATGGGAATCAAGGACAACCGCATGATGATGCGCGGTCCGCAGCGGGCCCCGCGAACAGTCATCGACCGCGCATTGGTCATTCTCGTCGCGCTGATGTGGATCGCGGTGGCGCTGACGTGGCAAGCGGCCCGCTGGAACATCCAGAAAGCGCAAAAGGAGGCTTCCAACCCGGACCAGCGCGCGCAAGCGCAGAAGGGCGACTGGTGGGAAGAATCCATGGCTGGAAAGCAGAAGGCGAAAGAAGTGGCAGCGGCGAAAGCAGCAGCGGCTAAGGAAGCCGGGTATGACAGCCAGATTACGATCGGCAGGAGTGGAAGGGAGTACGGCGGGGTTAACAGCGGTGAGGGGGGTTCGCGGTATGCTGCGCGCGCAACCGTGGGTGGGGATTTGGGGGACCGGCTGTCGCTCGGGGGGGATGAGTTGGAAGATTATGCTCGTCAAGATGTTGCTGTAGTGGATAACACTAAACGGAGACGGATGAAAGCTAGTACCGGGGACGGGCACTCGGATCGGTCGCGGATATGGCATCCCGTGACGGAAGACGACGACATTCAAGACGTGCCTATAGACGTGCGGTCTATAAAGAGGATTAGACGGCGGACGGACATGGACGGGGAGGTGGACTGGCCGATCGAAGTGAGAACGACGCGAAGGGTCAAGCGGCGCGGGACGCATAATGATATTAATAGCCATAGTCTTGACCATAGCCTAGGTCATAGTCATGGGGATGGGGATGGTGACCGTGGTAGCGGGGTTAAAGCTCATGGTGTGGGGGGTGGGGGTGGCGGCGGAAGGGAGGCGAGCGGCGAGGAGGAAGGGGGTTCAGGGATGGTGGCGGGGAAGCGGAGGCTTTTGGCGGAAGAGCAGAGCGGATGGGACGGGGGAGGGGGACTAGAAGCGGAAGCGGAACGGGGAGGGGGGAGGGACGGGGTAGGGGGAAGGGGATGGGGAACGGAAGGGGGAAGGAGAGGGGAGCAAGAAGCGGAAAGCGGGAGGGGAAGAGGAATCAACGGTGGCGACAGTGAGGATAATGGTTTGGGAAGCCGTGGAAAATATTCGTTTAGGGTTTCAGACGACAGTACAGATACGATGGGGGAAATTCTATCGCTGGGCAGGCACGCTCTTGCCGCTAGTGAAGCCGACGGGGTGACTTCTGAGTCGACTCAGATGTATCCACACAAAGTCGCTCTTGCAGCTAGTGAAGCTGATGGGGTGACTATTGAGACGACTCAGGAATATCAAGACAGGCACGTATTATCAGCTAGTGTGGCTGATGGAAAGACTGGGTTGCAAGAAAGCCGGGGAGCTAGCGTTTTGGGAGAATCTGGGGATGAAAGCAGAGAATGGGGGAGAAGACTCACTGACGGCTTTCTAAGAAGGGGGAGTGGGGATGGAGAGGGAGGGGTAGAAAGAGAGGCGGTGGCGGAGAGGGAAGAGGGGAGAATGGTGGATAGGGTGGAGTATTTGAGGGAGGTGATTTTAGGGTTTGACACGAGCGGTATCAAGGGGTTGGAGGAGGTGAGGGAGGAGGTTAAGGGGCGGCATCTGGTGTTTGCATTTGAGGAGGAAGTGAGCAGTGATGACGTGGCGCCTGCTAGTGTTATCAGCAGGTATGGTGGCATTCTAGGGCTTGAATGTTGAGGGCATGAAGTGGGCTTGGGGATGAGAGGGGAGTGAGAGGGCGGTGCCTGCTACTAATGATGAGCAGTGATGACGTGGTGCCTGCTACTGTTATCAGCAGGTATGTTTGGACCCTAGGATTTTGAATGTTGAAGGCATGAGGTGAGATTGGCAATGAGAGGCGGGTGAGAGGGCGGAGCAGCATCCGGTGTTTGCATTTGAGGAGGAAGTGAGCAGTAATGACGTGGGACATGTGTCTGTTATCAACAAGTGAGGCGATATGATGGCACAGTGGTATGATGGTACGCTATAGCGTGCCATGGAATGGTGTGTCATGTCGTGGGATGGTCTACTATGGCGTATTATAGAATATTGTTGCAAATGAAAGGGTCATTTCAAGTCAAATGGGAATCGCTAAGCGTCCTTCTCACATCCGCAGCATGTCAGATCTTGTGACATTTTCCCCTCTCTCATGGAATTCAGGTTTCTCATGATCTTTCATCTTGTTCACATGGCGGGACACAAGAGAGGTACACTATCTCAGATTGAAGACGGTTTTGTTGAAAATTGGATTGGACTGTTTACTGGAAGTGAACCATTGGAAGAGCCTCTATAGAAGGATTGTACTGGAAGATTCTAAAAGTTCAGATTATAAATTAGTATTGTTTCAATAGAATTCTACTAGGTGCTCATTTCTCAATCACGTCAGGAAAAATGCACACCGTATGTGCTGTGTTTCTTTGTCCTTTTACACAACTGTACTAAAAGATTCAGAAAATTGGAGGCAGATACGGTACCATACCAGTAGTTATGATGGCGATTGTTGTACATTCTATCACTGCATGTGTGTCCATCTAGACGAGGCTGTTGACCAGTCAAATCCGAAACAAGCAGGTTGGATTCGAAGACCTAGAGCATCCCTCCCTCCTCACGTTCCCACCCTGTCGCATCAGAGCAAGCGTTGCCGCCAGCCCAGCTGCCTTCCTTCCTCGGAACCTGATAGTCTTGCCTCCGCTCCCACCCACACCCGTTGCCCTGCCTCGCCCATAGGCCCCTAGTGCAGGAGTGGCATTGAAAGACCTAGACCATCCCCCTCACATGCCCCCTCCCTGCCTCATCAGAGCGAGTGTCGCTGCCAGCCCAGCTGCCTTCCTCCCTCGGTACCTAACAGTCTTTCCCCCGCTACCACTCACACCCGTTGCCCTGCCTCCACCTCCCCCCCCCCCCACAGAAGCAGGTTTGACAGACCTAGAGCATCCCTCCTCACGTGCCCCCTCCCTGCCTCATCAGAGCAAGAGTTGCCGCCAACCCAGCTGCCTTCCTCCCTCTGTACCTGATGGTCTTGCCTCCACTACCACTCACACCCGTTGCCCTGCCTCCACCTTTGGCCCCTCCTACAGGGGCAGAGCTGGGTGCATCTGCTGCTGCTGTGACTGTAACACCTGCAGCAGGGGTGGTTACATCTAGGGCAGGCCTGGTTACATCTGGAGCAGAAGTGGTTACACCCGGAGCAGGGCTGGTTACAAGCAGAGGAGACCTGGTTACAGGTGGCACAGGGGTGCGAGGAGTGCTGTTGCTGACACACTCTGTTGCTGCAATCCCAATTGAACCCACACCATCCTGCTGCTGCTGCTGCTGCTCTCCCTGCTGCTGCTCCTGCTGCTGCTCCTGCTGCTTCTCCTGCTGCTGCTCCTGCTGCTTCTCCTGCTGCTGCTCCTGCTCCTGCTCCTCCTGCTGCTGGTCTGGCTGTTTCGTATGTTGCTGCGACCGATTGTCAATCTCCATATCATTCTGACAGCTTCCTTGATCAACCCCTGTCGTCCCCCCCATGAGTGCTCGCCTCTTCTGCTCCAGCAGTCTCGCCACGCTCGCCCACTGCTCCCACTTATGGGGCGCCACTCCACAAGCAGCAGCAGGAGAGGGTGCAGCCGCAGTGGCAGGAGCAGCAGTAGGCGAGGGTGCAGCCGCAGTGGCAGGAGCAGCGGTAGGAAGAGGTGGTGATGGTGCGGTGGTGGTGTCAGCAGCAGGAGCAGGAGCAGCAAGAGCAGCAGCAGGAGCAAGACGAGCAGGAGTAGGGGTAGCAGTGGTGGCAATAGCAGCAGTTGCCATTGCAGGAGCAGCAGCAGGAGCGGCAGGAGCGGCAGGAGCGGCAGGAGCGGCAGGAGCAGCAGCGGCACTAGAAACTGCAGGGACAGCAGCAGTGGCGGCAGCAGTGCCATCAGCAGCAGCACCACCACCACCACCATCGCCACCACCAATATCATCGAAAGCGTCGGCTCGCAACACAAGGCGAATGTCAAGAAGGGAGGAGAGGTCGACCTGGAAAGGGGTGGGAGAAGAGGGAAGCACGATCATGTGTGGTTTATTAGTCGACTCAAAAGGGGGAAGCAGCTCGTGACACAAGGCGAATGTCAAAAAGAGAGGAGAGTTCAACCTGGGAAGGGGTGGGAGAGGAGGGAAGCAAGATCATTTGCATGAAGAAAGATGGGAGGGGTTGAGAGTGATGTTGGGTTGCCTGAAACCACACAGCAGTACACGCATGCAGACATGCCTGCCAGTGCATGTATATGCCCACACATACACACTCACTCACACACACACTCACACACACAAACACACAAACACACACACACACACACGCACACACACGCACACACCCCCACACACACACCCACACACACACACACCCACACACCCACACCCCCACACACACTCACACACACACACACACACGCACACACCCACACACCCACACACCCCCACACACACACCCACACACGCACACACACACACACACACACACACTCACACATACTCTCACCTTCAAGTGACCTGTCTCATCGTAGGGAGGTTCAACCCCCACTTCATCTTCACCTCGCTCGCCCTCAGCCAATGGGAGACCACTGCCAGCTGTGCCACCAGCCTCAGCCAATGAGAGGCCGCCAGGTGTGGTTACAGAGCCCACAGGTGCGAGGTGGATGAGAGACGAGGAGGGGTCGAAGCTGACCACTCGGCCTTGCTGTTGGAGGAGAAGGGAAAAGGGTGGGTGTGTCGGTGATTGTGTGATTGGGAGTGGGGAGAAGGAGGCATGGAGGGAGAGCAGTCAGAAGGGAGTGGAAGTCAGAGGGGGAATGATGGAAACAGAATGAGTTTGTGTGATGGTGCGGAGCTAAGTTAAACGGAGGTAGCATACTCAAAGAGAAGGAACGAGAGGCTTACCCGCAATGATGACGGCTCAGGCGTCCAAGTGAGAGGCGAGAGAGCGATGATGCGATATGCGAGTATATCACCAGGCTGATTGGGAGAGAGAAGGAGAGGGAGAGGGAGAGAAAGGGAGTGGAAGGGGCGAGGACCAGAGCTGACGGTAACACACAATTTTTTTTAGTCGACTCAAAGACCAATTGAATTTGAAAGTCTGATATATCAGAGCTCAGATTGTAACGTCCCTGAAACTTCAATAATCTCAATGTTTGTCGCTTTTTTCACGCAATTTATTGGTGTAGCCGTCGCTGGAGGCAATGTTTCTAGATTGCTCTGGCTCTGTTCCTCTGGTGCTGGTGCTGGTGCTGGTGCTGCGTTTGATTAATTCAGGCGACTCACAAATAGACCTCTGAAAAATGACTCACCTGAGGTGCGCCCTCCAATAGTGGCAATAATTCAAGCTTGTTTTGGCTCTGTTGCTGCTCGTGATTGCTTTAGGCGACTCAGAATTAGTCCTCTGAAAAGTGACTCACCTGAGGTGCGCCCACCAATAGTGGCAATGCTTCAAGCTTGCTCTGGCTCTGGTGCTGCTGCTGCTCTTCCTCTTGCTGCTCTTGGTGATGCTGCTGTTGTTCCTCTTGCTGCTCTTGGTGATGCTGCAGCACATTCCCTTCCCTCACGCCTTCCATCTTCTGCTGCTGCCAATACTGATCTCCTCTCTCCGCTCCCTCATTCCACCTTTCTCTCCCTCCTCCTCTGTCCTTCCCTCTTCCCCTCCCCCTCCCCCCTCCCCTACCTCTTCCCACACTCTCACTCGTCCCCCAATCCCATCTCCCTCTCTCTGCTCTCTCATTGTCACCCCTTCCTTCTTCTCCCCCTCCCCATCTCCCTCCCCTTCTATCTCCAAAATACCCCTCGCTATGCTGCTGCTGCTGATTTCCACGCGATTCAAACTCCCCCTCTCTCCGTCCGCCCCCTCTTCCACGAAACAACCGCCCTTCTAGACTGGGTTGCTGCTGCTGCTGTCCCCACGCCTGCCCGCGCCTCTTGTTCTTGACTTGACCCATGTTGATAATGGGCTGGGGAAGGGAGCGGATAGGGGACGGGGAAGGAGGGAGTTAAAATGGGGGAAGGACAGACATGGGGCTATTGCTGCCCCCATGCCTGCCCGCGCCTCTTGTTCTTGATTGTTCCCATGTTGAAAATGGGCTGGGGAAGGGAGGGGCAGTGAAAGTGGGGAGAGAAGGAGGGGAGGGGAGGGAACATGGCAATTGAGCCGCCTTTAAAATCGCCTGCCCGCGCCTCTTGTGACCCTTCAGCTAAACTCAGCTCATTGAAAGCAAGCACCACCCAGACAAAACACCAACTGATTGAATCGTGCTTTGCTGTGCTACTCATGTACCGTACTTGGTACCAAAACCCTTCAAGAAACTTTCCTAGGTCCACACCCTTTCTGCTTTCGCTCACCCCATGGACGTGGGAGTACAACTTCTTCATCCTCCTCCTCCCTTTTCCCCTCGTCCCCAGCCCTGAACATAACATTCCCTTTCTTCACCTCAACTCTTTGAGTCTACTTTTGAGGCGCCTCAAAAGTTCACCTCAACTCTTTGAGTCCACTCAAGACTCACCAAAGGACGTGTGTTTGTAATTTGTCCATCCTCCTCCTCCCCCTCTCCCTCGTCCCCCGTTCTAAACTTCACATGCCCTTTCTTCACTTCCACTTTTTGCAGCACACCCAGCCAGCTCTCCTTCCCATCCCCTTGCTGCTTCCCTCTCCCTGCCCCCACTGCTCCTGCCTCCTCTGCTCCTCCACCCATTGTAGTAGCTGTTGCTGTTGCTGTTGCTGTTGCTCCATCTTCTCCTGCTGCTGCTGCTGCTGCCGTACCTGTCCCCGTGCCTGTCCCCGTGCCTGTCCCTGTGCCTGTTTTCGTGCATGTCACTGTTGCCGTACTAGTTCCAGACATCAGCTGCATGTACAGCGCATCCTGTGAGAAAGGAGGGGGGTACAGTGTGGTACAGAACGGTTGAAGTAGTGGAAATGCGAATCAGTGACATAAATTGCCCCACCCCACAACTCTCTGCAGCTGCTTGTGTCTGCTGCCCCCCTTCCCAAGGTTTGAAATACGATTGGACACAACTCTGGCATAAGAAGAAACTCGGTTGGAATAAGAAAGCAAGGTGTGTGGTGCAGCGCGGTGCGGTACATAACACTCCCGGTGGATCCGAATGTAGCGAACTAACTAGGCGATCATAGAAAGCAACAGTACAGTACAGTACAGTACAGCACAGCGTCACACAACGAAATGGTCTCTAAGAATTCTCAAGAACCAGCTTGAATTGATCTTAGAGCTTGATCGAAATGATCTTAGCAAGGGAACAGTGTCATCACATGGCGTTGATACCTTGGCGGCTTGCCGCTGCTTCGCCAGCCATCTTCTCTTTGCCCTCTTGCGAATCGTGTTGCGAGAAGGGCCCTGGGGAAGGGAGAACGAGGGTGGGGGGGTGGGAGAGGAAGAGGTTGAGGAGAGGAAGAGGACAGGGGCAAGGGACCCCTTTGCTTCTTGCCTTTGCAGCCTGCCGCTGCTTCGCCAGCCATCTTCTCTTTGCCCTCTTGCGAATCGTGTTGCGAGAAGGGCCCTGGGGAAGGGAGAAAGAAGTGAGGGGGGGAGGGGAGGGGGAAGAACGTGGGAAGAGGAAGAGAAAGGGGACAAGGGAAAAGAGCACCCCCTTCCCTCTTGCCTTTGCAGCCTGCCTCTGCTTCGCCAGCCACCTCCTCTGCTCCCACTTCTGAGTCGACTCAAAAGCGAGGTGACTTTTTGAGTCGACTCAAAAGCGAGGTGACTTTTTGAGTCGACTCAAAAGCGAGGAGACTTTTTGAGTCGACTCAAAAGCGAGGTGACTTTTTGAGTCGACTCAAAAGCGAGGTGACTTTTTGAGTCGACTCAAAAGCGAGGTGACTTTTTGAGTCGACTCAAAAGCGAGGTGACTTTTTGAGTCGACTCAAAAGCGAGGTGACTTTTTGAGTCGACTCAAAAGCGAGGTGACTTTTTGAGTCGACTCAAAAGCGAGGTGACTTTTTGAGTTGGCTCAAAAGCGAGGTGACTTTTTGAGTCGGCTCAAAAGCCTGCCTCTGCTTCGCCAGCCACCTCCTCTTCTCCCACTTGTGATTCCAAATGCGCATGGAGGCGATGCATGATGCTGCGGTGATGCACGGTGGTGTGCGGTGCTGCGCTGATGCACGGTGGTGTGCAGTGCTGGGGCGCCTTGAAACATGGAAAGGCACACTCCTTCCCAGCACACTCCTTCCCAGCACACTCCCACCGCACTCCCACCACACTCCCACCACACTCCCACCACACTCCCAGCACACTCCCTTTAAGACGCACCTTCCTAACAGACAACGCAGCAGCATGGGCCCCTCTCGTCGCCCCTGTAGCTGCATTGGCTCCTCCCACTGCTCCAACAGCTGCATCCTTTAGCCCCGCGCCACCCTCACGCCCTCCTGCTTCTCCGTCATGCCTCTTCGCCTCTCCTCTCTTCGAGTCTCCTTCCTTTGCAACTCCTCCTTTTTCCTTCTCCTCTTCGCCTTCCTCACTACACTCCCCTTCCTCCTCACTTGAATCCTCCTCCTCCTCCTCCTCCTCCTCCTCCTCCTCCTCCTCCTCCTCCTCCTCCTCCTCCTCCTCCTCCTCCTCCTCCTCCTCACTCGAGTCAGAAGACTTTTCCACCTCACTAGAACTTTCCTCCTCCATAGACTCAGAAGATCCTTCTTCCTTCTCCCCTCTGAAGTCTCCCTCCTCCACCTCCTCCTCTTCCTCCTCTTCCTCTTCTTCCTCCTCTTCCTCCTCTTCCTCCTTTTCCTCCTTTTCCTCCTTTTCCTCTTCTTCCTCCTCTACCTCCTCCACCTCCTCCTCTTCCTCCTCTTCCTCTTCTTCCTCCTCTTCCTCCTCTTCCTCCTCTTCCTCCTCTTCCTCCTTTTCCTCCTTATCCTCTTCTTCCTCCTCTACCTCCTCCACCTCCTCCTCTTCCTCCTCTTCTTCCCCCCTCTCCCCCTCATCACCTTCCCCCACACCATCCTCTGCTACGTTTCTCGGAAGGTTCCCGGCTTTCCCACCCCTGACCCCCTCTTCCTCCCCTCTTCCCACTCCCCACTTATCCCCTATAACCCCTCTTTCCCCCTCCTTTCCCCCACCTCCACCCCTCTCCCTATCCTTATCCCCACTCTCTCTCCCACCCCCTCCTTTCTCTCCGCCCAATCTCCCTTCCAACCTCTCTCTCACTCCCCTTCTCTTCTTCTTCTTCTTCTTCTCCACCCCACCTTCACCCCTCTCCAACACACACCCCTCTCCCTCCTCATCCCTCCTTCCCTCCTTTCGCTTCTTACCACTCTTATTCCCCTTCCCACTCATCTCCCCCCCACTTCGCCCTTCCTTACCTTCCCCAGATACCACCCACCTCAGGGCGGGGAACGGGGAGGTGGGACCTGGGGAAGGGTCCCCCACACGGGGAAGGGCGTGGGACAGAGGAGAAGCATAGGCTGGGCGCTGCAAAAGCGGTGGGGTGCGGTGCTGAGGATTGGAGTTGGTGTGTGGTGTGAGTGGCTTTTTGTGGTTGATTCGGCAAACCCTGGTGAGACAAAGAGGGGGGGAAAGGGGCAGTAAGAAACAACAAAAGGACCGTTTTTTTTTTTTTTTTTTTTTTGGCGACCCAGGGTTCTACCGAGTTACAGGGTTTAAGCGTGGAAAGGGCATTAAAAGTTACGACATCTCACCTGATGACGTCATCGCGGGCCAACACAGAAAGGGGTTGCCACGCTGGCAGCACGAATCCGTCCACCTGTCAGGATGGGGCACCAGGGAGGTGACACACGTGACATAGTAGGGAATGACCCACGTGGCAGTAGAGTTGGTGAATGGGGAACCAACCTAATTTGAAAGTGACAGCTAGGTATCGTGGCATCCCTGCGAAGCAAACTCGCTTCGAAATGTCGAAGACCTCCTTATCCTTGCCTTCACACTAAGCATTCAATAAAGAACAACTCGTTTTCCTCTGTAATAGGCTCTCCAGGGCTGTAAATGCACGCACAACAGACAAATCATTCTCGGATTCTTCGCTTTCATGCGCCTCGATTGAACACACGACGGTGTATCGCACCTGTAGAGCCACTCCCGCTTTGCACGAATCCTGTAGGCCGAACGACTCGACCACGTGGGCTGCCAGCTGGCTGACGGTACTAATGCCACGTGGCAGCGCGATCAGGCTGTGGCTGAGCCCCTGCGAGAGCTGCATCCGCTTTAAGAGCGACGGATCGATGACTACACGACATCGCGTAGGTGGGGGAGGCGTGGGCAAATCATATAAACCTAAACTACACGGCTTTATTTGGTCTTCCGCCATATCCGCACGCTGATACTGAGGGGTAATAGTCGCCTAAGGAACGTCAGCAGGTAGAGTCCCTAGAAATTTGTCTGCCTGAAATAAATAGCCAGGCATTTGGCCATGCTTGCCCAAAGCTGGGTGCATCTGGCAATGGATCTGGAGGATGAATATGCTGTTCGTTGCGGACCGGTTATTACGTATTCGAGACGGTTTGAGGTTCAGGCAGGACACTGTTGTGTCATCTCACAAGGACCATTTTGTTTTTCTCGTCGGCTCCTGCTGAGCAATACAGACAAAGTTATGTCGACATTACATATGGGAACAGGCATTATCTGAAAAAACACTAGTAATGTCAAATAGAAATGGATCCAACAAACAACCTAAGCCCGGCCGCACCTTCTCGCAGAAGTGAAGCTTACACTATAACGAAGAAATTTTCCATCACACCGCGACCTAACCGCCTCACGCCATAGCAATTAGTTGCGCTATGGCGTAGTCCCTGTTATCCCAGTCTCCACATCCCGGTCTGCCGGTTTCTGTATTCCCTGAACAATATACGATGGGATAGCGAGCAAATCTTTGATATTCGCAGAGTGACCTCTCCTCGTCCAGCCCTAATTCTTCCTTCGCGCAGTTTCGCAAAATTGCGCGTCATTTTCGCAATTTTCGCAATGAACGTCAAAAAGATTCTCCAGGCCGGTCTAGGATTCGTCATCATTCTCGTTATATTCGTCTTCGTTAGAGAACTCGCCCGCGAGACAGCCGTCCACCCATCTCACTCTCCCACCAATGCTAACCGCAAGGAGGCTCCTCATGAGATCATAGAGCAACTTAAAGAGCAGGTAGCGGGTCGCGAGGCGGAAAACACAGAGATGCAAGATCTGGAGAAGGAGATCCAACGGCTGAGACAGGACATCAGAGTTCTATCGAGCGGCGGAGGGCTTCCGACCGGAGCGCACTTAACGGCGACGGATTTAAAGACCGCCGCAGATGTAGGGGTGGACGCCACGGCTATATGCGAGCAGCAGCTATCTCACTGTAAGAGGCAGAAGCTTGAGGGGCGTTCCTTACTCTCCAGTACTCCTTCCGCGGAAGGTGGTTCAGCTTCCGCTACTGTCTCCGCGCCAACGGCGGGCGCGGAAGGGTCAGCAGGACCCGCGGGTGGCGCAGGGGGAGCGGGGGAAGTGGCGGAAGGGGGTTCCAGCGCCGTTCCGCCAGTCTCCCCCGCGGTGGCGGAGCTTCAGCGGAAGCTGGCGGATCTACGGACGGCGTACGATGCGATGATGATCGACAAGCGCAATCTGACGGCTGAGCTCGCGCGGCTGTCCCACAACGGCACGTGCGGACCGTTGGTCAATCTGACCATGGTGGAGGGCGCGGCTCGGGACCTAGCTTCGGATTGCGCGGATGCTGCTAAGAAGCAGACGGAAGCGGAAATGCAGATAGTAACCGGGGGAGCTGGGGGAGCCGGCGGAGGGGGAGGGGGAGCGGAAGGGGGAGGAGAAACTGGAAAGAAATTGTCTCCTCATGAGGAAAAACTGATGTCAGTTCGAACGTGTAACGGGTCAGATGAGGAGTTACAACTGTACATGAACTACACTGCCAGACAGGCGTGTCCCGACGACTGGTTACTCGCTCAACGGCTCATGTTTGAAAAGAACTGCTTCTGCCTGCCCCGCCGGCTCTGCTTCGCAGCCACTCCACCGCATTACACCGAACCGCACCTTGGCCCGCCGGATTCGCTTTTCAGTCAGGAGATGTTGCGAGATGAGAATGTGCGGTGGGGATTGCACGAGTGCAAGTCGTACGCGTGTGTGAATTCACGGGAGAAGGGGGAGTGCAGGAATTGTTTTAACATGAGTTTGGAGGTGAAGCGGTGGCAGACGCCGTACCTGGGTACCATACATATGGCGCAGGTCTGGCAGCTCAAGCCTCCCGGCTCGCTTCGGATCGGCCTGGATGTGGGTGGAGGTTCGGGGAGTTTTGCAGCTCACATGGCCCGTTACAACGTAACCATTCTTACAACTTCGATGAATAAGGAATTCATTGAAGGTGTAGATGGGGGGCTGCCTTATATGGAGACTATTGCTTTAAGAGGATTGGTGCCGCTTCACGTCCCCACTAAAGCCCGGCAACCGTTTTTCGACAACACCCTCGATATAATACACTCGGCTCAAAGTGTCCGATACTTTTCAGTTTCGGAACTGGAGGAGCTGATGTTTGAATGGCACCGGATTCTTCGGCCAGGCGGCATTATTTGGTTTGAGCTGCTGACAGCTCCTACAAGCAAGATGAAGCAGTATATAGTGGTGATTAACATGTTCAAGTATAAGCAGCTGTACTGGGATCTTGCGCCTGTGAATGATCCGAAGAAGAGCAAGACCCATGTCTACTTGAACTGTGTATTGGAGAAGCTTAGGAAGTCATAGGGTAGGTGACAAGTGTGCTTCGTTGTTGGAAGGTATGGAGAAAAGAAGTAATTCCTACAGGCAATTGTTGTTGTGGCTCACACATTGCCCTTGTTGAGTTCAAAGTGTGTGGAGTGGAGTAATGAATAACAAAACAGTGATTGCCAGATTCTGTCACATAAAGAATGAGGGCCTAGTCAAGATACACCTAGCTACCGTATTCTCCCGGACATAGCACCCTAGGGTATAGCTAAAAATACAGGGAAAAAATGGGGGGGGTCTCCTCATAGGAAAAAAATACATAATACCCGGGTCTTTACATATGGTATATTTTAGTGTTAGTGTTTCTTTAATTAGACAATGTCGGTGTTTTGATTTTCATTTTAACATCACTGTCTGAGGCGCGAATGTGGGTTTCGGCCACGAGCTTCATCACCCCCCCGAGCGCGGGGCCGGGGCCGGAGGCGACGGGCAACCAAACTGCAGCAGCTGCAGAGCGGAGGGCAGCAGCAGCTGCCGAGCGGAGGGCAGCAGCAGCTGCAGAGCGGAGGGCAGCAGCAGCTGCCGAGCGTAGGGCAGCAGCAGCTGCAGAGCGGAGGGCAGCAGCAGCTGCGGAGCGGAGGGCAGCAGCAGCTGCAGAGCGGAGGGCAGCAGCAGCTGCCGAGCGGAGGGCAGCAGCAGCTGCCGAGCGGAGGGCAGCAGCAGCTGCAGAGCGGAGGGCAGCAGGAGCTGCAGAGCGGAGGGCAGCAGGAGCTGCAGAGCGGAGGGCAGCAGGAGCTGCAGAGCGGAGGGCAGCAGGAGCTGCAGAGCGGAGGGCAGCAGGAGCTGCAGAGCGGAGGGCAGCAGGAGCTGCAGAGCGGAGGGCAACAGCAGCTGCCGAGCGGAGGGCAGCAGCAGCTGCAGAGCGGAGGGCAGCAGGAGCTGCCGAGCGGAGGGCAGCGGCAGCTGCCGAGTGGAGGGCAGCGGCAGCTGCAGAGCGGAGGGCAGCAGGAGCTGCAGAGCGAAGGGCAGCAGGAGCTGCAGAGCGGAGGGCAGCAGCAGCTGCAGAGCGGAGGGCAGCAGCAGCTGCAGAGCGGAGGGCAGCAGCAGCTGCCGAGCGGAGGGCAGCGGGAGCTGCAGAGCGGAGGGCAGCAGCAGCTGCAGAGCGGAGGGCAGCAAGAGCCGGTTTGGGTGTTGGATGTGGAGATGGCGGACGAGGCTTGCACCGATGAGCTGGAATCAAGCCCCATGGAGGGGGAGAATGCCAACCCTGATTCCCCGGACCAAGCGGAAAGGCCCCGAGCGCGGGGCCGGGGCCGGAGGCGACGGGCAACCAAACTGCAGCAGTTGCAGAGCGGAGGGCAGCAGCAGCTGCCGAGCGGAGAGCAGCAGCAGCTGCAGAGCGGAGGGCAGCAGCAGTTGCCGAGCGGAGGGCAGCTGCAGCTGCAGAGCGGAGGGCAGCAGCAGCTGCCGAGCGGAGGGCAGCAGCAGCTGCAGAGCGGAGGGCACCAGCTGCCGAGCGGAGGGCAGCAGCAGCTGCAGAGTGGAGGGCAGCAGCAGCTGCAGAGCGGAGGGCAGCAGGAGCTGCAGAGCGGAGGGCAGCAGCAGCTGCAGAGCGGAGGGCAGCAGCAGCTGCAGAGCGGAGGGCAGCAGCAGCTGCCGAGCGGAGGGCAGCGGGAGCTGCAGAGCGGAGGGCAGCAGCAGCTGCAGAGCGGAGGGCAGCAGCAGCTGCAGAGCGGAGGGCAGCAGCAGCTGCAGAGCGGAGGGCAGCAGCAGCTGCAGAGCGGAGGGCAGCAGCAGCTGCAGAGCGGAGGGCAGCAGCAGCTGCAGAGCGGAGGGCAGCAGGAGCTGCAGAGCGGAGGGCAACGGCAATTGCAGAGCGAAGGGCAGCAGCAGTTGCAGAGCGAAGGGCAGCAGCAGCTGCAGTGCGGAGGGATGGAGCTTGCAAGGCCGTTAGAGGGGGGCATGGAGACGGAGTCTAGCAGGAGGGTCTTGCCGGCGTGTTCGAGTGGAGAGGAGCACCCAGACCCTACATTGACACCCCCGCCCCGCATTCCGTGCGAAACCTGTTATCGCACGTTCACGGAGAGAGGAAAGGCCACACGCCATATGTCGGCCTGCAGGGCAGCGGACGCCCAGCGTCGTGCTCAGGCGCTTGGGTTGACCCGCGACGTCACAGATGACTCGGACGGCGAACCCCCGCCACCACGTGATATCAGTGAAGAGGTATGGGCCGCAGTTCCTACATGGGACTGGGAGTCGTTTTTTGGGATCGAATTGGTGCCAGGGAGAATCATGCGTCGTATCCCACAGCGCGCTAGATTGGGGGTGCTTGATGCACTGTCTTGTGTCCTGAAGCGGCTACAGTTAAAGGCAGCAGACGAGGCGGCGTCCTTGGTCTTTTTGGCCTTCCCTCGTCTTATCTTGGGGATGCCAACTGGGCAAGGCCAGGGGCATAGGGCGGCAATCAGGGAGCGGTTGGAGAAGTTTTGGGTCGGGGAGTGGCGGGAGCTGTTTGAGTTGGCGGTGGCGGTAATGCAACCTGCGGCGCGTCCTTTGTCCTTCACCCCCCCCGAGCATGATCCTGATGCGGTGCGCCTGGCTCGCTGCCGCACAAGGTGCAAAGTGGGAGAATGGAGTCGAGGTTTGACGTGTCTTACTGCCGGTAGCATCGCTCAGCCCTCTCAGCACATGGTGGACGCGTTGCGAGCGAAACACCCATCGAGCGAGACCGCCTTTCCGGAGTGGTTGCAGGAGGAGATAGTTGAGCCTTCCCTTATCCCGCAGCTCTCAGTGGAGGTACTTGGTCAGGCGATCCACTCTGCGGCTAGGGCGTCGGCACCAGGACCGTCGGGGTGGGTGACGGAGCACCTGCGCGACACTTTTCTCTCTGAGCCCGCATACCTGCCTCACCTGCTAGGAGTCTTCACCCAGTGGACCAAGGGAGAGGTAGCGGAGCGCGTGCGACCCTGGCTCACTGCGTCCAACCTTGTGGGCCTGTCGAAGCCGAATGGTGACGTTCGCCCGGTGGCTATAGGCGAGGTGCTCCCCCGCATACTATCTCGGGCCCTATGCATCGTGCTTCGGCCGAAGATGATGTCGCACTTTGCGCCGTGTAACCAGCTAGGAGTCGGATCCAGGTCGGGAGTGGAAGTCCTCGCACATGCCTTTCGTTCTGCCATCTCTACTCACCCGTCATGGTGCGCGCTTCAAATTGATGTGGCGAATGCTTTCAACTCCTTCCATCGGCGGGAAATGTTTGAAGGACTTCGACAGTCGCCTTTTGCGGGTTTGATCCCATTCCTGCGTGTCTTCTACGGCACTCCTAGCGACCTCTACCTCCGTGCGGGCCCCTTCGTCGAAGCTTTGGCTTCAGAGCGAGGATCGAGGCAAGGGGACCCATTGGGGCCGTTTCTGTTCGCGTTCACACAGCAGCTGGTTATGGAGCCCACCAAACAAGAATTCGCCGACCTACTCTTTCTCAGCTACGCCGATGATACGTACATCTTGGGGCCTAGGGAGCGGGTGCTAGCAGCTTATGAGGTCTTGCGGGAACGACTGGGCGGGCTTGGTCTGGAGGTGCAGCCGCATAAGTGCAAGCTTTGGGAGCGAGGGGTGGACCAGGAGGGAGAGGAGAGGAACGAGACCGTCCCGCCCGGCATGCAGCAAACATGGACGGGGCTCACCGTAGTGGGGGTTCCTATTGGGGAGGAGGAGTGGGAGGTGGCCAGCTTGCGAGGCCGGCTGATGCAGCTGCATGCACCTGTCCCTTGGCTTCCTTTGCTCGACCACCCACAGATTGCGTCCCATCTGCTGGCGATCGCAGTGTCAGCGCGCCCGATTTACCTCACAAGGACGATGCCTCCACGGCCTGAGGTTGTGGAGGCTTTCCGCGACTGGGACACGAAGCTTGAGGATTGTTTTGAGCAGCTGTTTCCAGATAGCACCTGGGATCATGATTCGGCAAGGTCGCAGATGGCCCGTCTACAGCTGCACCTTCCAGCCAGACTTGGAGGGTTTGGCATTCGATCTGCAGCTGACCTTAGCCCTCTGTCGTACGCATGTGGTTGGTGCCAGGCAGTGAGCGATGTGGCTCGGATGGGGGTGGCAGGGGAGGAACGGATGTTTGAGGAGTTTTTCCGCACGCCCGAGGCTACGACCTTGCTGGATCCTTGGTTTGCGAGAGCAGTGGAGCTGCTGCCACAGTCGGTCAGGCGGGAGATGCCACCCCTAGCCTTATGCACCGCTGACCCCCCTGTGCTGCTTTTCCCCACACAACACCGTCGCCTAGCGGTTGAGAGTCTGCAGACTCTTCGGGGTATGGCCCACGACGACGCCACCATGGCCCGTTTGACATCCCTTCAGGGCCCGGGGGCAGGGGCGTGGGTCTCCGCCGTCCCTTCGCACGAAGAGGCTACCTTCACCGCAGCCGAGTGGAGCATCTGTGCGTCCATGCGCCTAGGCCTCCCCATACAGCAGTTGATAGTCGCCGGCAAGTGCGCGTGTGGGTTTGAGTTTGCTGATCCCTCTGACCCGCATCATGCCCTTCGCTGCAAGTACCAGTACGCACCTTCTCGTGTTTACGACGCGGTTAAGTTTGTGGTGGCGAAGATAGCTAAAGGGGCGGGTGGGGTCGTGACCATGGAAGACGACACGTTGCTGCCAGGGAAGAGGGTGGATGTGGCGGTGCGGAGACTGAGGGAGGGGGAGGAGCATGCGCTGGAGGTTAGTGTGGTGGACCCTATCTCGTTGTCCGCGCAGCACCATGGACAGATTGGTCGCAAGGTGGGTTTTGCCGCTAGAGAGAGGGAAAAACGGAAGGCGGCGGACTACAAATTGCTTCTGCAGCGACGTAGGGGAGTGCAGTTTACACCTCTCATTGCTGAGACATGGGGTTGCCTGGGGGGGAGTTTTGGGCGGTGGCTTAAGAAACAGGGCGACGCGCAGATTGAGGTAGCGAAGACGAAAGGGGCGGCGAGAGCTACGGGGAAAGGTTTCTCGGCTTACTTGCTTGGATCACTTAAAGCGGCCATAGGTGTGGCTTTGCAGCGGGCTCAGGCGCGTGTGATCTTGTTGCGCGCGGCGTCGATGATGAGAGGCCCAGAGGCTGTTTCGGTGGAGCGGGAGGATTTTGAGGAGGAGATGGGATGGGATGCTCCGTGGGCGGATGCGCCCTATTTGGTGGACATGCGGGTTTAGAGGGTGGGTTTAGGTGAGGGGGGTGGGGGGTTTGGTTAGATGGGGCGTATTGTTGGGGTGTCTCGTTGGGGTGTCTCGTTGGGGTGTCTCGTTGGGGGTATCTCGTTGGGGTGTCTTTTGGGGTTCCTTATGTGCTGTTCTACTGGGGTGTTCTTGAGGCTGCGTTTTCCGTTTTTCTTTCATTTAAAACTGAAAAAGATGTTCCAGCAACTTACGCTGCTCTAAACACCGGAGACAAGGTGGTTCCTGCTCCTGGTATCTCACCGTTCCAAAACAGTATTCTTCATTTGTTGTTTCAAAATGCCATGTGGCACCTGTCTTGCCACTTGCAGCCAGGGCTCACTTTATCAGAAATTTTTACTCTGAATTTCTGGATTCTGAACACATTTTTACTGGTTCATCTGATGCCGTAGATATGCTGTTTAATTTCGTCTGATTTTTTTAGAGAAGCTTTTTCTATTCATCTGATTTCTCAGACAGCCTTATACAGTTCGTCTGAGATTGCAGATATCGAGTATTTTTCGACTGAAGGCAAAACTCTCGAAACAAGCAGACTACAAGATTCGAACTGGAAACCTCAGATGTCACTGCTCCATATTCCACTGACTGGACCATTAAAGCTGTTCATCGCTATTACTTGGTTGATTCAATCATATTTAAGAGTACATTGCTTGCTAGCTTTATACCTTCTCGGACAAGTATTTAGGATTCGTCTGGAAAGCTAGACAAGGTTACAGTTTTCGTCTGACAATCAGACAAGGAGCCAGGAACCGGTCTTGACATCAGACGGGTCATTTTACTAAAGTTAGCCCTGCTTGCAGCGGAAGATTCGCCTACACGTGGTCACAGCGAAGTAGTGCGAGGGGGGAAATCTCGGTAGATTGTAAGTGAATGTACCGCGAAATTTCATCTAGGGAGAAATTTTCGCGATATTCTTCAATATTGCAGCTACTCGTTAACGACTATTATAACGAATTCGTAAGAAAAGGGGGGTGTTATAGAAAATCAGCAAAAAAAGGGGGGTATAGTAGAAACGAGGTCTATCATAACACCCACCCCGCACAAGCTACCCGGGGGTGTACAATTACGGGGGGGTGTTTTGTCCGGGAGAATACGGTAAGTAGAAATATATGTGTACACTTTATGTGTCAGAATATATTTTATATATATTTCTGTATAACTGCATATAGTTCTAGCTCTAGTGCAGTTACTGTCATAGTCCCTGTAGGTGGTGCACCCTTTGCCATCTCACGCTCCTATATCTTGTACCTTGTTCTCTAAGTGAAACACCTCTTCCTTTCTACTCTCGACAAGTGCCTAGCACCCAAACACTAGGCACTACTAAGCTCATTCTAACATTACCGTATCACCCCGGATAGAAGCGCAGGCCTATTATAAGCGCATGCGCTTCTATCTGGAGCAATGCGCTTATGGCCGATCCTCAATTATAAGCGCACCCCCTGTGAAAACGTTACTTATTATAAGCGCATGTACAATTTTAAATTAAAAATTCTGTTCGAAACCATAGCGAGTTTCAATTTTGAAGCGAGTACAATCTCATTTTCGCTGAGTTTGACTCTCGAATACCTGACTGGCTGCGCGTCCAGTCAGGATGTGCTGGCATGACTGCAAAGTGTTCCATCTTGGCCCCTTGTGTGCTGGAAGAGAATCGCTTGCAGGAGATTCTGCATTGTGACGCGAAAATTTTCGACTCGGTTGAAATGGCAAGAGTGAAACATACAATTTGGTGTCTTCAATTTATAAATTCGTATATGTCATTATATAAGCGCATGCGCTTATAAAAATGACTCAATTAGAAGCGCACCCCCCTAAAAAACTCTGCTTGATTATAAGCGCAGGTGCGCTTCTATCCGGGGTAATACGGTATGTTGCTGTAATGGTTTATGAATAAATGCTTTCAAAGTGTGAGGATGCCTAGTTGTCAAAACTTATATGTAGCTTGTCAGATTTATATGACATAGCTACTGTAGGCTAGAGTGGGGTAGCACATATGGGGTACAGTTTTCTAGGGTTTGCTTCTTGTACCCAACTTTCACTTAGTCATTCTCATTCCTGTTTTTCTTGATTCACATGGTATAGAGCGGGTTCCTACATGGGACCG